GTAAACCATTCTTTTACCCCCAGTGATTTATTGCCAAAGCTTCTAATGGACACACGAATAAAACAGTGCAACTCGGGCGCCTGGGTGGCTCAGTTTTTAAGCGTCTGCCTTGGCTAAGCCCAGGGTCCTGGGATCGAGTCCCGCATCGGGCTCCCTGCTCGGCAGGGAGTCTGCTTCTTCCCTCTCGTGCTTTATCTCTCATTCTCTCTCTCTCTCAAATAAATAAATAAAATCTTAAAAAAAAAAAAAAAAAAAAAAACAGTGCAACTCATTACTGTTGATTCTAGCACCAAGACACAGAACCAAACAGCAAGTCAGAAAAATATTTAAATTATAGTAAGGAAAGTACCCACAGGGCGAACTTGAGACCTCTTATGTGGAGTCGCACAGGCTTGCCTTAATAAACAATTCTTCAATATAACCTTTTTAGAAGTGTGAGTGGCTCAGAGACAATTTTAAGTTTAAAGACTTCTTGACTATTCAGGGGACCTGGGTGGCTCAATCAGTTAAGCATCTGCCTTCAGTCTGGGTTATGATTCAGGGTCTTGGGACAGAGCTCCCTGATCAGTGGGGATTCTGCTTCTTCCTCTACCCCCCCCCCTCCCCAGCGTGTGCGCGTGTGTGCGTGTGTGTGTGTGTGTTCGCTCATGCGCTCACTCTCACTTGCTCGCTCGCTCTCAAGTGACTAAATAAAATCTTTAAAAAAAAAAACTTGACTATCCTACTGCTAAAGCAAAAAGAGTGTCTCATTTCCTTATTTCTATTAACTAGCCAAGGCTCAGAAAGAAAAGTGATTACCTTAGCTATGGAGTAAGTTACGTTCCAATAGATTATGTTAATTTTAGTCCATTTCTACTCTGGCAAGTCTGAATGTGTAGAAAAAGAGAATTATGAATTACAGAACTGCCCACATTCTCGGTTCTGTATGAAACAACAGTGGATCCACAAGCATGAATTATGAACACTGTAATGAACATATATGCGGAACAGACGGTCGACATTTTAAGAAAATCCTAAATTATAGATGTCCGTATCTGCAAAGAGAAAATCAAATTTTAAAATTTGGGGGGGTACCCGCCTGGGTGGCTCGGTTGATTAAGCATCTGACTCTTGATTTCAGGTCAGGTCATTATGTCAGGGTTGTGAGATGAGTCCCAAGTGGCCTCCCCTCTGGGCGTGGAGCCTGCTTAAGATTCTTTCTCTCTCTGGGCGCCTGGGTGGCTCAGTTTTTAAGCGTCTGCCTTGGCTAAGGTCTTGATCCTGGGATCGAGTCCCACATTGGGCTCCCTGATTGGCAGGAAGCCTGCTTCTCCCTCTCCACTCCCCCTGCTCGTGTTCCTGCTCTCGCTGTCAAATAAATAAAATCTTAAAAAAAAAAAATTTCTCTCTCCCTCTGCAGCACCACCCCCACCCCGCACACACAGGTGCATGTGCTCTTTCTCTCTCTCAAAAAAAAAAAAAAAATTGGGGGGTGGCTGAGAATTAACCAAAAGGAAAGTATGTGGGCCCTTTGGGGAATCACTTAACAAGGCCTTACCTTTCATTAAGTTAATTTTCCAGGGGGTTGGTTATTGGGAGACTCATAAGAAAGGGTACATTTGAAAAACCTGTAATGAGACAATTATTATCAAACGAGGAAAGCATTCATTCATACAACTAATATTCACTGAGCAATCACTGTGTTTCCAGTACTAATGGACGCCCCAGGGATACAGCAATCAACATGACAACCAAACTGCCACAAAAAAGGCCTCCTCTCATTCCTGTTTCTGACCTCCAGAACAGGTTTTTAGGCCTTTTTTTTTTTTCTTTTTAAGAGTGTACCAACATAAAAGGGTAACATTTTCCTTATAACCATAAGATTTCTGTTTTTGTTGGAGACAGAAAGAAGTTGGGCTATGTTCTTTGCCTGGCAAGAGAAGAAAAGAAATTCTTCATCCCCCTCCCCCTTTTTCTCCATCCTGCATTTACCACAAACATCTTGCTCTCTCTGGATATTTTCAGGAGTCCTAGAAACTGAATTTTCCTGGCTTTTTCACCAGGTGGTTCAGCACCAAGAAAATTAAAACTTACAAATCAAACAATTTTTAAAAATTTACTATTAGCAATAATAGATCCTTATGGCAACATCTCTCTTTCCACCTTTCTAGAGAAAGGATAAATTTCGCTTTTATGCTTTGTTAGAAATGCTTATCTTGGGGCGCCTGGGTGGCTCAGATGGTTAAGCGTCTGCCTTCGGCTCAGGTCATGATCTCAGGGTCATGGGATCAAAGCCCCACATCGGGCTCCTGGCTCAGTGGGGAGCCTGCTTCTCCCTCTCCCTCTGCCTCTCTTCCTGCTCATGCTCTCTCTCTATCTCTGTGTCTCAAATGAATAAATAATTTTAAAAATTAAAATTAAAAAAAAAAAAAGAAATGCTTATCTTATTCTTATAATCACCAGCATAATAAAATGAAAAACGCAGGACCCCTGGCTGGTTCTTGATCTCGGGGTCATGAGTTCAAGCCCCACTGGGAGTAGAGATTGCTTAAAATAATAATAAAAAAAAAAATAAAATGATAAAGGCTTACCTATTATCTAACCTTAGGTAAAAGAAATGTTCTATACTTAGAATGCCTCGCTTTATATTTGAGTCTACTTCTTTAACTCACAAATCTCATCAGGAATTTTAACACACTCATTCAGTCAATTTAACCAAAATGCCCACAAAAATTCAAACACTTTTGTCACCTGGCAAGTAAGTCCCATAACTCAGCACCTTGCATGTGTTATCGTTAGGAGGGGGAACACACAGGCAATAAAGCTTCAGAATATAAAGAACAAGCCCTTCAAGCAAAGAACTAGTTCTTACTGTCCTGATTTTCAGCACAATACTCCAAAATACATATTAATGTTAAACTAATTCTAAAAGCTAAGTTACATTATGTAATATATATGCTAGATTAATGAATGGAAACACTATGTCTAAACCCAGAAAAAAGAAATTATTTTTTAAAGCACTAAAACATGCTTCCACAATTCAAACTGGATATTCTGGCCCTTGGGAAGGAGCATCACATACCTAGAGAATCTGAGAACCAGCAAGTTTTCTGGAGAAGAGCCACCTCTGGAATCAACTTCAAGCACCACCTCTGTCAAGTTCTAGTCAAATGGTGACGGCAGCCTTAAGTGGCAGGAGAAAATACAAAGGAGAGGAAAGAAAGACTGGAGAGGCCAAGAGAGAAGAGCCAAGTGAGAGAAGCACAAGGAAAAGCAATTCTTCCCTAACCGACAGAGAGGAAGAGTATTTCTGCCTTCCAAACCTCAGAGCAAACTCAAGCCATTAGAACACACTCTACCGAAAATAAAGGATCAGTTGCTATGAACTGAGTGTTTGTGGACCCCCACTCCAAAATTGATGAGGAAGCCCTAAATGCGAAAGGATTTGGAGGTGGGACCTGTGGGAGGTAATGAGGCCATGAGGGGGCCCCCACGATGGGATCCGTTTCTTTACAAGAAGAAAATTAGCCCTTTCTCCATGGGAAGTCACTGCAAGGAGTCAGCGGTCTCAGAGCCAAGGGGTCCTCGCCAAAACCCAAGCAACCAGCCAGGCACCGAGATCCACCTCCAGCCCCCAGAACTATGAGAAATATGTGTGTTTAAGTCACCTAGTCTACGGTATTTGTCACAGCAGCCTGAGCTAAGCCATCGCTCAAAGTGACTAGTAAATAGCAAAGTCCTAAGCCTTAGAAACAATAAAGAGGACAGACTACGGCCCCAGAACTTGACTCAGGATTACCTGCTACTGAGTAAGGGCACTTGACTTCACTCTTGCCCTTCACCATCCCCTCTCCCCCTCCTGGTTTGGGATTAAGAGGCTGCAAAAGACTAGAACTTCCGAATCATAAAAAGAAATTTGACCTCAGAAAGTGGTTAAGTAAACTTAAAAGGTCTGGCGAGGAAACCCTGACACATTACTCCGTCCTCACCCCTCCCATAACTCATCATCCGGCTCTGAACGATTTTCCTTGCCTCCAGTCTCCAGGACGAAGTCTAATAGCAATGGTCCGGGGAGCGCCTTTTGTTGAAGAGCAACAAATTTGTTCCATTACAGCCTCACTAATCTGATGTGAGCACGGCTGGGTTGGCAGGGCTTCCTGGTGTGGCTCCCCGGGCCAATAGGCCGCGGGTTCACGCGCGGGACTGAGAAGTCCACCCCAAGTGGCCCGCTTCGGGAAAGCCTTCCAGGGAAATACAGTCCGGGTCGGCGAAACCGGCCCAAGTTCCCTTCCCATCTTTTCCCAAGTCATACTTCCCACGGCATGCTTCCTCCAAAAAAGGAAGAAACCGGCCTAAGGCTCAGCTCTAGCCGGCTGGTATTTACCTAGCACCGGAACTTGTTTGCAAAACATTGAAGGCACTCATAAACTTGACTTTGCAGGAAACGCACAACCTTGACTCCCGCAACCAAGGTCTAGGGAGCGCCTGCTGTCGTCCCCACCCCCACCACCAAGGTGCTGGACCCGGAAGGTAGCGGAGCCAGGTCGCCAACGCCACCCGTGGCTATTACCACGGCCCCCCAAGCCACTCGGGGGCTCACTGCCCACGGAACCGACTCCCAGTGGAGTCTGGAGCCAGGACCCCGACCACCGACTGCCGGGACGCAGAGGAAACGCCGGGAGTGGCCGGGGACGCCTCCACGCTCTCAGAAGTGCTCTCCCGCAGCCCGCCGCCCGAAGCAGGGCCGCAGAGGCCATCTGGCGCGGAAGGCAGGAGCGGGCCCTCGGTCTCCCGCCCTTCCACCTCGTTCCCTCGCGCTGGCCGCCCCCCGCGCACGCCCGCACGCCCACGTGCACAACCTCCAGGCACGACCCCGGGATCCCAAAAGGCAGAAGCCCCCTCTCGGCCGCCCCCCCTCCTTCCCCGCGGGCATGCCTGGCGCGCCCCACTGATACACGTGGAATCGGGGATCCCGGGACCTATGGGCGCCGGCTGTGGCGCCCGCCGCGCGTGCCACTCACTTGCTGGCCGGCGCGGGGCTTGCCCTGGGGCGCTCTCCTGAAAAAGGAGGTCCTGGCGGTGAAGAAGAAGTCCTCGGCGTCCTCCTCCAGGCTGCTGTAGCCGCTGCTCATGCTGCTGGTCCCTTCGCGCGTGGGCCGCCTCCCCGGGGCGCAGGCGGCCAGGCAGGGGGTGCCGCGCCCGCCCGCCCCGCGAGGTTCCCGGCGCGCGGCCCCGAGCCGCCGGCGGGCAGTCCTGCTGCAGCTGCGGCCGCCGCTCACTCCGGCCCTGCCGGCCCCTCCCGCCGCCTCCCCGCCGGGCTCCGGGCGCGGCTTTAGCCTCCCAGCGCCTCGCGACCCCGCCTCCCGGGGCCCCGCCCACTCCCGTGTGCCCCTCCCCGGGAGGCTGGGAGCTGTGCCCACGCGGTCCGGGCACTCCCCGCGCGGCCGCAGGTGGGGGTGGTGCGGCCGGCCCTCCCAGCCTGCTCTGTCCCAGCAGTGTCTGTGCAACCCAGAACGCCCACTGCGACCGCGGCGTCTGGCCGGGCTGTGCCCCGGGTCGCTTCCCCAGCCTCCCGGAAACTGCCAAGTCCTCTCTGATCCGGCTATCCGCCCCCCCACTCCGCTAGCTCGGGTTTTGGGGAGGACCAGAGCAGAGCAGGGAAATTTCGCCGCTGTCCCCGCCCTGCTTGCCCCTCCCGGGGTCTAGCGGGCGGCAGTGGAGATTGCCCCGCCCGGGATCCCCCAGCCCGTCGGGCCTCTGGCGGCCGTTTCGCCTCGTCCTGAACCCCAGCATCTCGCCCCTCCAGAAGGGTTTAAAAGTTAGCGGAGAGGAGTGGGGAGGTAACAACTGGGTAGAGTTTATTCAAATGAAAACATCCTTTCTGGTAATTCAGTTGAGCTTCGATCTTCCCTCTCGCCTTCTCTCTAGCGAAGGTTCATTCTCAGATGAGGACGGCCAAGGTCGTTATGATCTTAGAGGCCCCTTGGTGAAGGGGGTGGAGGGTGAATTCGTTCTGTGGTTCAAGGACTTATTAATTAAATGTGCGTTTTCGATGTTCCCTCCCACGATCCTACAAGGCATGGTTTCCGTGTCGGGGTAATGGGTTCAGGGAATTCTATTCACCCTCCTACCAAAAAAAGAAAATCCATATTTTCCGAAATCCTTCCAGTTAATCTTTTAGAATGCAAAATTTTTGGCACGCCCCCTGTGGTTACCAGTCGTTTACACCTTGGTGTTATTGAACTGATTTAAATCATACTAGTTTCCTTGCAGAGATCATGACTGAAAAGGGGTTGTTTTGAAGCTTCACCGCCACTGCTGGGGTGAGCAGGCTTTAGAAGAGGTTTCATTAAAAGAGGAAAAGAAGGGTTAGAAAAGAGAATTTTCACCATTATCGCTGAACTTTCTATGCAAGAAAGATAGATAATGCATATTTCCTTTAATCCTCAAAACAGCTCTAAAGTAGTTAGTACTGATTTATGCTTTTTACACCCAGAGCAGCTGAGGTGTAAAGAGGAAAGTAGCTGTAGGTGTTAGGCCTGGGGCCATTCTGATTTGCTTTGCGTTTATCTGAAGGTCTGCAGAAATCCTTCTAGGTCCTCTGCTTGGCCCCAGTCAGCTGTGCCCGTTTATGCGCTAGTGGAGGGGCGAGCTGGCTCTTGAGTCAACATATCCCCAGGCAGAAGGAAGGATTGCAAACCTGCTCCACCTTCAGGCTTACACACCCAGCTTGCAAAGCTGTGCATTACCCCAAGTGATTCACAACTGCAAGAGGCAGGCCTCGGAGTTAGAGCCCATTTTAAAGATACTGCAACATTAAAAAGCCTTCTTCCCAGCCACACAGCTACTGAATAATTAGAAACCAGGAATTCTAACTCCATATTGTCTTACCCAGTCTAAACTGATCGCTGGTGACACACACATAACCTAATGTAAGAGAATAAGACGATTTTCTTACTTTGCGATAGATTTTTGTCATTTGGCTTCTGTTATTACATTAACCTAATCTTTATTAAATACCTCCAATTTAAGAGTAATGTATAGAAAAAAAGGGTAATGTATAGATTAAAGAATTTAAGTAACTTGTTTTATTGTGGATGGGAAGAGGGATACAACCCAACCTGAGCTAATTAAAGTTTCTGAATACTTGCAAGAAAAATATTAAAAGGAAAAATACATTAAAGTGTTTTATCGGGCTCCTGGGTGGCTCAGTTGGTTAAGTGTCTGCCTTCAGCTCAGGTCACTATCCCAAGGTCCTGGGATCGAGTACCACTTCAGGCTCCCTGCTTAGCCCGGAGTCAGCTTCTCCCTCTACCCCTCCCCCCTGCTTGTGCTCGTGCCTGTGCTCTCTCTCTCTCTCTCTTGCTCTCAAATAAATAAAAATAAATTAAAATTTTAAAAAAATCTTTAAATAAATAAATTAAATAAAGTGTTTTATGATCCACCATACCATAACAAGGATTTTTTTCATGGTATTATTTTTAAGTTCCAAAGGCCTGGATGTTTATATCTCAGCACGTCATCAGAATCACTTTTAACAAAAAGGTATAATTGAATAATGAAGTAGAAGTGCTTCTAAGCAACAAAAAGTAAAAAAGGAAGGAAGAAAGAATTGGCATTTTCTTTCCTAAAAGCATCATAATAATATTTCTAAATTTTTCTGATAGTATTCTTGATAAAAAAATATTAAAATTTGGTTCATGAAATTAGTATTTATAAAAATTCAAAATGTCCCATTAAGGGCGCCTGGGTGGCTCAGACAGTTAAGGGTCTGCCTTCAGCTCAGGTCATGATCCCAGGGTCCTGGGATCAGGCCCAACGTCAGGCTCCCTGCTCAGTGAGGAACCTGCTTCTCCCTCTCCCTCTGCTCCCCTGCCCTGCTCTCTATCTCAAATAAATACATAAAATCTTTAAAAAAAAATAAAAATAAAACTGATGTCTTTAAAACAAAAGTCACATTATGCAACTAGACATTTTTACCATTTAAAATTCAAGGAAGGGGGGCGCCTGGGTGGCTCAGTTGGTTAAGCGACTGCCTTCGGCTCAGGTCATGATCCTGGAGTCCCGGGATCGAGTCCCGCATCGGGCTTCCTG